GGGGCAGAGAGAATGGGGTCTTGGCCGCGGCGGCGCACAGCTGCTGGAACCCCACCGCGCCGCCGCGCCGGGGTCCCGCCCCGCGTCGTCGTATCTCTGCCGGGGGAGCAGCGCGCGGGAGGACCATCACGACCGGGGACTACTTGAGCTCCTTCGAAGTGGCTCATCCTCCCGAGGCTAAAGCTGCTCGCCGGGGCCGGGCGGGGCGCTTGGCGGGCCATTTATAGACGAGTGGCAGGCAGCCCCCAGTCTGTACTGCCCCGAGAGCCTCCCTCCTGTCCTGCCCCGAGCCGCCGCCCGTCGAGGAGGTGACGGGGCGACAGACGTGACAGCGTTCTCATCCTCAGTTTGGAAGTTACAAGTTCCGCGTCTGCCTCGAGGGGCTTTGGCTGGGCGGGTCGGGTCGGGTGCGGTCGTCTCCTTCGGAACGCCCTGCTCCTCAGCCGGTGGACCGTGGCGGGTCGGGGCGGGGCGGGGCGTCCTCCTGCGCCGTGCAGCACCACGCCCTTCCTCGCGTCCGTTTTCTCCCGTCACCCTCGTTAGCCGTTAGCTCTCCATTGTTCACACGAGGCGCCGCAGCACAGCTGACGGAATAATCGAAACGGAAAACGAGACTCTCGCAACGAACGACGAGGCTGGCTGGCGGGGCCGTATGGGCGCGGCGAGTTTGAATGAACGAAAGGATTGAATGAATCCAGAGGAGGGGTTGGTGTGCGCTGCCGGGCATATGTCCGGAGGAGGTGGGGGGAGGATGAGTGTCAAGTGGCCTTCCTCGTAAACGCGCCCGATGGGGTGGGTGGGGGGAACGGCGGAGCAGGTCCAAACAGGTGCCGCCGCCCCCGCCCCTCCTGCTCAACCCCCACCCCTCCGCCGCCGTTTCCGGCCCCGTGGGAAGCCGGGGAGGGAGGCAGGCAAGCTCAGGCCGCTGCTGCTGCTCTGCTCTATAGTGCTGCTATGCAGTCGCTTTGTCCTGGCCAGGCAGGCAGGCTGGGCTGCACCGACTCGGAACCCCTCCCTGCTCTCGGCCTGACATGGGACAGGGAAGTAAAAAGGATTGGGAAGAGGGGGAGGGGGGTGATGGGGACGAGTCCAAAATAGCGTCGCCTCGTTACCGCACCCACCCCTGTGCTGCGGCTGCGCTGCGCCCCGCACGGCCGTGGGCACCGGGGACCCTCACCTTGCCGTTGTTGGGCGTTCGCGGCGGGTGGCATTCACGTCGCGCAGTTGTCGCGCAGCTCCCCCGCCGCGCAGCCGCGCCGTCCCCCCCGCGCGCCCTGCTCCAGCGTCATTCACGCCGGCGGCCGTCCTCTATGTTTTTGTTGTGCTTTCCGGAACCCGCCGGAACCGCTCTTTATTTTCCGGAATCCCGACCGGATACGGAACGGAACGGTCGTCGGTCAGCGGGCGCGCGCCACGGGAAGTCCGGATGGCCGCGGCCGCGTGGGTCCGGTCCGCAAGCTGACTGGCCAACAGCGGGGGCGGCGCGGCAGTGCAGTGCCGCACACTCACAGCGCGGGGCGCGTCAACAGATGATAAGTCAGGTTCGGCCGGAGCGGCCTACATTCCCTCACTGTTGTCCCCCGGCCCATGGCCCGGGCGCGTCCGCCCACGTAGTACAGCTCGGCGTACAGCTCGTGTGTGGACGTGTTTTGCTTACAAGCCGCCGCCGCCGCCGCTGGGGTCGCTGGGCTGGGGCCGGTCCATAAGCGCCACGCCACGCCGCCGGACCGGAAGGAGGGGTTAGTGTGGAGCCCCATGTCGTGGCATGTCGTGGCCCCCGCCCGACCCGCGTCGTCGTCGCCGTCCCCAATGGCATGCCATGGGGCCATGGGCGGGCGGGGGGCCGCCGTCAGACGCGACGCAGCGTCAGTCGACGCGCGCCGACCGACTCGACTAGCTGCATAGTGGTGAAGGGGGAGGGGGGGCGGGGAACGGAAATTTATGAAAGGGACGATTAAAGGATGTCGGCGAGACATCCAACCAATTGATCAAAGCGCGCGGAGTGGCGGCGGGGAGCGGTGTCAGGGCGCGGCTGACAGTGATTCCCCTTTACTTCGTTAGCGGAGAGCGAGAGAGACCGCGGTCGCAGGGCTCGAAGGAGAGCGACAGAGAAGGGGCGCGGCGAGTCTGTCTGACCCCGCTGCCACCCTGTTTCTGTCTCTCTCTCGCACTCGGCGTGCGTCCTCCCCCTCTCCTCCTAGGCATGCTTCATTGATGAGCGCTTGCGAGTGTTTTGATTTCCTGTATGACTCGAGCCATCAACAGGTTGCTTCGATTAAGACTCAATAAAATAAACGCGCGTCCCGTGGTCCTCATTAGGGGCCCTTATCTCCCCTCCCCGATCGGCGCCGTTATCGACGGGACATTGAGGGCCCGGCGTTAAAAGGTAATTGGTGGCTTTGAAATAAAAGTTCTGACAGACGTCAGTCCCGCTGCTACTGGGTGCAGCTTCCCACGGAGATAGCATCAACGACGGCAGGGGTCAGTGTGCGTGAGCGGCGGACCCGCTGGCGAGCGGACACCCGCACTGGCGTCCAGTCCGCGGGAGGAAACGAAATGACCTTTGAGGACTAAATGTTGAGGACACCTGCCTGGTTCGAGGAAGTGCTGGCGGTGGCGCTGGCGCTCTGCCCGAAGTCGCAGGTCACCCGCAGGCCGCGGGTCTCCCGGGGCCCGTCATCGGCGTCCTCGGTGCACGTGCAGTCGGGGCGCTCGCACAGGGGCGGGCTCAGGCCTGGCACCTCGTCGTGAAGGGCGAGGGCGGCCGCCACCAGGGCGGCCAGGGCGGCGACGAGGAGCGCGGGGGGCGTCATCGCGGTGCTGCTCACAGGGGCAGAGGGACGTCGCCGTCGCCAGGTCGCTCATGACGGAGGATCGTATCCTGATCCCGGAGCCACATCAAGGACACCGAGGGCACCAAGCACACTGCACTGCACTCCACTTGCACACCACTGCACTCGCGGGCCGGAGCGGACCGCACTCGGCTCGGGTCGGAAAAATATGTTATGAAAATATCGTAGTTCGTTCGCGTGCTGCGCTGCCGCGCAGGTCTCGGGTACGAAACGCACACACGCGCGCAGCTCGGCTGCCGGTAACTGACTGACTGCCTGCCTGCCGGCTGCCGGCTCAGCTCAGCTGGCACAAGGCGGGCAGGCGGCGGCGGCCGGGACAGGCCGAGCTGGCAGCCAGCCGGTCGGGCCGCCGGGCAGACGTGAGGGTCCCCGCCGCCGCCGTGGTGCTCGCCGGCTCCCCTCGGCGGGCGCGGAGGGGGCGGGGTGAGGGG